CATTACCCAAAAAAATTATTTTTAAAAAATATTTTCAATTTCATAAATTATTTTGTATTCTAATAAAAATAAAAGATATTCCTCAAAAATATTTTTCATTCATAAATCAAACACAAAATCATTTTCGAAAAATATTTTCTAATCACCAACCAAACATGAGAAAATAAGTTCAAAATCTACTTGTTTTCCAAGAACACATTTTCTTGGAAAACATTTTCCTTCGTACCAAACACACCCAAAGTTACTTTGTTCACTTGTTGTCATTGTTTGTAAAATAACAAATATTCTCTATATACATTAGTGTGTTTAATGTATTGAACCTAATTCAAAAAATTTCACAAAGGTGCACTATAGATCAATTCAAAGATAAAAAGAAACGTCAAGGAATGCGAGATTTTTATCAAATTGGAAATATTAACAATGATAGTACATAACCCGACTATGTGATTCAAGATCGAATTAATTGGGTTCATATTTGTAATAAAAATCATTATTTAATATGCATATTAAACTATGTCATCCCTTCTCATGATGTCTGAATATAGTTTTACATTGCAAATTAGTGAAGCTAAGTTAAACGTTTAATCAAATTCATATCGTGTACAGGTCATATATTGCTCCGCATAGTACATTTGATAATTGTACCGATAGATTTTAAAACACTCATCAATCTCAAGATACCTGCATGACATGTTAGTACCAAATTCGTGATGACAATAATGATTTTGTTAATATAATGATGTGATATATAATATATGATAAAATTCTGAGTTTATAAAAAAAATCTTTGTACATAGAAATTCTAAACTTCATCTATTTTTTTATAAAATTAATCTTATTTATCAAAGTATTATTCACAGTCTAAAATACATCAAATTTGATGCATTGTACGTATATCTTGTAACAAACTTTTTATTTCTTTCTATTCATTATTGTTTTTTTTTTTGAGTGATATATGGACGGTTCTAGAAAAAAATTATTAGAATACTCAAAAATAATTATTTTATTAATATCTTAGCTCATTTTTAATACCTTATTGACTAGAACTAACTAGTATTTGATGCATTATTGACTAAATTTAGCTAGTATTTAATAAGATGATTATTCTGTTACACTTTTATTATTACATATTAAATTTTAACAAATTACCATTAATAGTCTTAGATTAAATGTAGATTTAGAATTGTCTAGGTTCATTCATTTAATTAAATTTAGAAAATTAATAATTAGATTTTTTTCTCTCTCTCTCTCGCTCTCTCTCTCTCTCTATATATATATAGACACAGTTGCATATATGTATAAATCTTCATTTCTCTGTGTGTCTGAGCTTGAAAACATAAAAAAAATCATCATGGAAAACAACTATGAGAAATCAGCAGTGAATGCAGGTCAATCCGCTGCGTATCCAATGTTGTCGCCGCCTCACCTTGAGAAAAAGCAAGAAAAGCTGGAGATGTTTTGGACAGACAAGCGGAGAGAAATGGAGAATGTTATTGATTTCAAGAGCAACCTGCTACCTCGAATTCACCGCATCAAGAAGATCATGAAGACAGACAAGGATGTCAGAATGATTGCTACTGAATCACCTGTTTTGTTGGCTAAAGCATGTGAGTTGTTCATTCAAGAACTCACTCTTCGTTCCTGGTTTAAAGCTGAGGAAAATCATCGTCGTATTTTGAAGAAGGATGACGTCACTGATGTGATTATGGAGACTGACACATTGGATTTCCTTCTTGATGATGATGCTAATGTTACTGACGGCTCCACACAAAATGTTGTTCCGTTTTATGTTGCTGAAGGCACAATGGGCGTACATACTGATAATCTTGATCATCAAATGTAACCTTCTTATTTCCTTAAGTTCATACCTATAGGGTTACAAAAGGTACTGATAACATACTCTGTTTGATAATTTAGGTAGCTTCTGATGTTCAGACCAACTCGTGATTAGTGGTACTTCTGATTAGCGAGAAACAATATTGGTGAATCTTCGTCATGAATAACAAGTACCCGATCTTTTTTTTCAATATTACTTTCAGTTTCATAGAGATGGAATTATTAGTTATGCGTTTATTCTAGCAGCTCATACAAGTAAAAGCTTTCAAACAAACATATCAATATAAGTTTTGTTTATGTTATTTCTTTCAAATATATTAATATGTCTCAGTGTTATGGACTTTATATAGATATTTCAAATCAGGTGATACATTTACGCTTCAATTTTCTATTGATTTATGTTAATTTTACTATCACGCCAGCTTCGGTTGCTTGTGGCTCTAAGCACCTTATCGGGTGTATGGATAATATTGGAGCGTGACATAAGATCCTAAGCATACAAAAGAATTCTTGATTCATATAAGTTTTAAACTTCCCTAATTATTCTATAAGTTTAATCTTGCTTTATCAAGATATAATTCATTGTTAACTACACACCAAATTATACTAGAAAACCCACTAAAATTTCATAATATTTTTTCTATTCTTTTTTTTTCAATATGTGGATGATTATTGGAAAAATGATTTGGATATCGCAAAAGAAAAATATAATATTGGTGTCTAGGTTCATTAGTTAATATCTTGTTATAATTAATATTTATTATGATAATTATTTAACAACTTCATGATTACATCATATAAAATTGTGTTTTTTTTATCATCCGATGCCTAGTACTTACATATTTAAAACCTAACTAAATTCGAGTTCGCACCAGAAAGTCTCATAGAGTAAAACACTTCTAAAAGACTTTTATCATGCCTTTATTCTTTGGCCACCTTTACTGGCATTCATTATTTTCTATTATCTTATGGGCATTGCAAACTTTTTCATCCATTCGCATGAGATTAATGATTATTATGTTATCGGTTTGATTATGGATTTATCAATTATGGATTGTTATAGTTTGATTATTGATTTATTGATTATTGACTATTAATTATCGATTATGTTATTGTTTTAACTATTAAAATATGACACGAAAAAAATTATTTAAAACAAGGTGATAAACTAGAACAGTGCATACGATCAGCAATTTTGAATAAATAACCTTTTTCTATTTAAATTAGCGATTTTAATTCCATTTTAAACAACCCTACTTAAAGGGTCGGACTTCCCTGTCAAATAATAATTAAAAATATATTTTTTTTACTTGTATTAAGATTTGATTTTTTCGTAAAAAAATATATAAAATCAAATTTTCTTTTTCAAGAAACTACTGAGCTATGTCCATTCCATTGATGAGCTAAGTGATAACCCACTAGTGACTTTAGTCTATAAAAGATAGATCAAATCGGTTAGAGTTATGCAAATTCAATTATTTATATATTAATTATCGATTTTATTTTTATTTATTATCATAAATAAGATATTACATAAATTTTATGATGATTAACTTGTGCATTTAAAAATTACGCAGAATTATAAATTAAATCAAATTTTATGCATAACAATTAAAATATATTATAAATAAGACGTATTTAGTTTAAAAAGGGAAAGAAAAGAAATGTTTGACAATACATAATTAAGAATGTCTATTATAAACTTCTTTAAAATTATATGGATACATGATTAATAAGATAAATATTTTTATTTTTAACTTATTTATCGATTGTCACACGTCCATATTAAACGTACTAAGTGTTAAGTTTCACTTGATTAGTCATTCATGAAAACTTATATAGAAAATATATTTTCTTTTTTCTTATCAATATAAGCTAAATATTAACTTAATACAGCAGTAACTTTTAAAATTTATTAGAAAAGTTAATTTAGATATTGAAACTGCGACTTATTTTAATTTACATGGAGAAAGAAGGTAACAAGATAAAGGAGGAAAAAGAGTGTTCAAAGTCCTACTTCACTTAGTTTTCGAGGTTTTCATCTCACCAACTATCTGAGGTAAAAGTATATATAGTTAACGTTGAGTCTAAATTAAACGAGTTATTATTGAATAAATATTTCATTGAAGTAAATTTTTTTTATAATATATGATAATAGCGTTTAAATGTGTAAATGTCTTATTTAAATGTATAAACGTTAAATGTGATATTTTTATAGATTTTTTAGTTTAAATTTTTAAAGGAAAAAGATTATGCGCATTTACTAAGTAGTCAATCACATAAAATATGTCATTATATTTAATTATACACATCATCCTCTATTAAAACAGACCAAAGATTTTACAGTTTTCTTCTGAAGCTATTACATATAAATAAATGAGAGAAATATTTAAAATGGTTATTATTTTTTTACCTAATAATCACTTAAAAACAAATAAAAAGAAATTCTGAAATTTAAATTCAACTTTTAATTATATAATTTTTTTAACAATACTCTTTATTAGAGACAAATCTACCTTGTGATGAAATTTCTCTTTTTTCTTTTTGGGTATTTGAATAAGGATGATTGGAATTCTTACATAGTTGATTACACAATTTTTATTTAACCTTATCAATAAGAATTTAATTCTCCCATATTCTAATTTTTTTTCCTCTATCTTTTTTTAAAAAAAATAATAATAGTAATATGAGTGTGGCCCCATTTTAGCTAGATTGAATCCACGTGTCATGTGTAAATGTCTCCATGTGGCATAGTGTTACTAATGGATAAGCCAATTGACTTGAGTCTCTTTCTAATGTGGATCCCACTACGCTAAGAATAAATAAATAAAACAAAATATATGTAAATAGTGATTATATATTCCCTCCGTCTCTTTCTATTTGTTTATATTTTCTTGTATATTAATTTATTTTAACAAATTAAGAAAAGATAAAAAATAATAATTTAATTATATCTTCACTTAAATTTCTTAAAAAAAATTAAATTTAATAAGATTAAAATTATAATTTTATTATGTTAATTATTACAGGTAGAGTATTTATTTATTATCCATAGACACTCTCCACTCTTTATAAGATTTTCATGTTATTAGATTAATAAAGTTCCCTCATTCCTCATTTTCCAACCATAACTATACTTGTACCTCAATCATCAACACTTCCTACTCCATTCATTTAAAAAAGATTTGAGTTAATTTTATAGTTTTAAATTAAAAAAAATAATATTATAAATAAATTAATTTAAAAAATTAGTTTATTCTTTTTTAAAATGAAAGTAATATTTAGAAAATATATACAACTAGTTTTTTTTTATTTCGCCCTGTATATATATATAGATAGCAATTACATTACTTCATCAAGGCTTCTTACATTGCTCTGTCTCTGTTTATAGAGAAAAAAATTGTCCCTTTGTCCATAAAAAGCCATGGAAAACAGCCCTCAGCAATCGGCGGCGAATGCAGCGGCGGCGGCTGCAGCGGCTCAGTCCGCTGGGTACCCGACTCAGCCACCTTACCACCATCTCCTTCAGCAACAGCAGCAGCAGTTACAGGTGTTTTGGACCTACCAACGCAAGGAAATCGAACAGGTTAACGATTTTAAGAACCATCAACTTCCCCTTGCCCGAATCAAGAAGATCATGAAAGCTGACGAAGATGTCCGTATGATCTCCGCTGAAGCACCCATTTTGTTTGCCAAGGCATGTGAGCTTTTCATTCTGGAACTCACTATTCGTTCCTGGCTTCACGCTGAGGAGAACAAGCGACGGACTCTGCAGAAGAATGACATCGCTGCGGCCATTACGCGGACTGATATTTTTGATTTCCTTGTTGACATTGTTCCCAGGGATGAGATCAAGGAAGAGGGTGCTGGTCTGGGGCCCGGAATTGTGGGTTCCACAGCAAGTGGTGTTCCGTACTATTATCCACCAATGGGACAGCCTGCTCCACCTGGGGTGATGATGGGAAGGCCTGCTATGCCTGGGGTTGATCCTTCAATGTACGTTCAGCCTCCCCCACCACCGTCGCAGGCGTGGCAGTCCGTTTGGCAGGCTGCTGAGGATAATTCTTATGCTGGTGGAGGCAGCAATGGACAGGGTAACCTTGATGGTCAAAGGTAACTTCCCATTTCCTTCAGATCTGGGTAAGCTAGGGTTCGAAAAATAAATTTGTCAAGTGGAATTGCTTTCTTCCATTTTTGAGGTTGGCGCATTAGTAATTCCTGTCAAAGCTGCAATATCATATAGTATCTACATAAATTTTGGTTTTTATATGTTTGCCTTCTTGCATGTTGAGCTCTACCATATTCAAGTGATGGACTTCAATGATTTCGTGCGTTCATTCTTCACTTTGTAAAACACAATTCTGTTCTGCAATCTCATTGATGTTGCAACATTGAGATAGAAGTTACGCTCTAGACTTTCATCAATCAATTTTGCTTCATATTTGCATCCTTAAAAATTATTTGGGGAATCTGGATTTTGAAATTTGGTTGACACTGTCTACGAGGAAGGAGTTCATGATTGATTTTCTTAATCCGAAAGTATGAGATTTTCTTGTAGTGGTAATTGTCTGCTTAGATGGCGGCAAAGCATACGCTTTCAATTTCTTACCAATTGAATGTGATTATATATGCATGCTTGGGATATGCCATCCATAACCATTCCCTATTATCCTAAGAAACTACTGATATCTGATTTATTTATCGGTGTTGCAAAGTACAGAAAGTGTTTTCTACTTCCCACAGCCTTTTATGTAGTTTACATGATGTCAAGTTACAATTCTTGCTTTTTCCTTACCAAGTAAATATTGGTTATGCTAATGCATACTGAACAAGTGGGACTAAATTCATTGCTAACCCTGGCGGCTTAGAATATGTCTTATAGGAGGAAAGTAAATCGAGAGCAATCTGTTTAGTTGGATTTTTGGTCTCCTGTTAGTAGTGTTGACAGTTATTTCGATTTTGTTAGCTCTTTAGTCCTAGCTTAGTACTCATCTAAGGGAACTAACTTTCCTTCCGTATATACTTTTGCTTTTAGGTGATGCTCTTTAATGAAATCCTTTACTTCACCAAAAAAAAATCCAGGGCACGTTTGAAGATCTAGGATAGTTTGATATGGCTAGTTATAACCATTTCTTTTCTTCTTTTTGTCCTTTGCGTGAATGCCAAAAAAAAGAGAACCAAGGCAGATATGATGCTCTTTGCATGAGCAGTTAGCACGCAATTGACTCTCTTAATGGTAGAAGCTCATCTATACATTTCCCAAGAACTGCGTCAGTGGAGGTTCCCACTTTGGCTCCTGAGTGAAGTTAGAGTAAAAAAAACACTCCCTGTCATATGATTCATTTTTAGGGGGTGAGTGGAAGTACATAGATGACCTTCAGAGAACAAATCATCTTACCGACCTATTAATATACACAAAAGAGAAATCTTTATCTTGAAATGAGAATTTTTTTCTTCAAGCATGATGGTATTTGTAGGATTGATGAACTTTGTGATAATGGCTTCTTCAATGGGGCTTTCATCAA